ATTCCAAATGCTGTAGCATATCCACTTAATCGCAGCCTATAATTTCACACTGAGACTCATGCTCTTGGTAATCATTAGCAGCTTCCCTGCCAAGAGCACACAGCTTTCAGACCCTTTTGTGTTTGTTTTCTATATTTCTCTAGAGTAAACATCTCTTTATCTGTATTAACTACTGCATGTTTCTAAGCCATGAATAAATCTTTCAGCTACCTTTGGCTTGCATTTTTTTTTTTTGTTTGGCTGCATGTATGATTGCCCAGCTAAAGAGACCAAGCCATTGTAAACTTATGGTCCAGATAATGAAACTCACTTCATACAGACCTATAGTGCACCAACAAGAAAAACCCTGGTATCTTCACAACATGAGGCTAAACACACATTTTCTGGAACTGCTTTATACCTGCTATTTAAAATATTGCTGACATGGTGTATCATACTCAGCTGTTATGTGTTCATGACTTATCATAGCTTTCATCTGTTTCATGCTCACCACTGTCAGATGTTTACATGGGAGACACTTCAGAAAGCACTGTTTGTAGTGTATATTTATGCTAAAGTCTAAGGGAGGAAAAGAGTTTATGTCTACGTAAGATCATGTTGTTTTTGTCTCCACCTCAGACACAAACATCACCTTTAATAATAAGCACTGGAGTTGCTTATGTGCTTGAAGCTCTGGCCTTCTCGAGCGCTTTACTTCATAAAAGAATGGAGTTTGTGTTTTAACTTTATTTCTTTACCATCTTCCATCTCAGGAGCTGCGGTGGGGGTGGGAAGGTAACACAACACAGGGAATGTGGTGGACAGCCAGGGTTTTGGAAAAGGGTTGCTGTCCAAGGACAAGCAGCCAATTCCCTGTCACTGGTGGGAAAGGTGCAGGAGAGAAGCAGTCTCAGGGAATGAGGCTGGCTGGATGTGGTTTCTGATCACTGATTTGGGAGTTGGCTGTGGGTTAGTCAGCTGGTGTTACACAACCCAGAATGGATTACTTCCAATGCAAGCAAGTTGAGATGGGAATAGAAAAGGAGTCTTTCCAACCACATCCCTGCTAGTGAAAAAGACACTTAAAGAAATGTCTTTTTGCTGGTTTTGCTTTGTTATCTTTATACTTTATTTTTCTTTGCTATTCAAGGCTTAAATATTGTGTACTTTATAGGGCAAGTTCTTTCCAAGTTTATCTAATATTTTCCTTCTTTTACCCCATCTTCAGTTTTTCTCTGATATTTGGGGAGGGGAGGGCCTCTTTGGATCAAGATGAGGTCAGGCTCTGGGGAACACTGGTGAGAAGCATTTGAAGATACTGAATGGAAGAATCACAAAAAATTACCCAGCCCTGAAAAGCAAACCTTGCATTAGAAGTAACTATCCCAGCAAATCAGGGAGAAGACTTAAGAGGTGATCTGACTACTGGGTCAATGCTGGGTTTTTAATTTGCAAGGAAGGCTAATTTAAGGTATAACCAGTTCTCCTGGACGAGGACTACATGCATTGCAGGTCCATATGAAGAGTCACACTCTGACATGGCTGATTGCTGTGTCTTTCTCTTATGCCTGGCATCCTACAGATAATCTGTGATCAAAGAGGAATCCTCACATGATAGAGAAGAGAAGGCATATGCAAAGGGAGTGAAAGATAAGTTCTTTAATACATCTGAAGCATTCAAACAAGTACTGTAAGAGAAAGGCTCATGAGAAAGTGAATAATGTCTTCAGAGCAGGTCTTGAACAGCATTCGATAGAAATGACCTGGGGCTGTAAAATGACTAATGGGGAAAAAGGAAAAAAGAATAGGACTTTAACACAAATTCACTAAGTAAAGGGACAAAACAAATCATACAAGTACCAAAAGGGCTGGTGAGCTGATGCTAGGCATTTAGTTTTCATACTGAAATATATTAACTTTATTTAGCAGTTCTAAAATTCAATTTGAATTCCTTTTGGTTTTTAAAATAGTTTTTAATGTGCAGTATTCTAAAGAGATAAATACACACACATAGGTGTGCTTACAATGGCAGCTACAGTTTCATAAATAAATGTGCACATGAACACTTCCAAACATGTCCTGCATGGTCTAGCCTCAGAAGGTGTAGTGGGTGGTTCTCCACCTAGCTGACATTTCAGCAGGCAGCACTGGTGTATAAAGGAAGAACACATCTCAAAGCCCATGGCTGGTGATGCCATCATGAAACCCAACAAAAAAAAACCCAGGCCAAAATCTGCACTCCTTCCACAGTTCTCAACCCCTGGAGGGTTTTCCCATTTTTCTCTACCACCTTCATTCCCCCTGGGACTCCTCCCATTTCTACAAGAAAGGAAGTTTCCCTTCATTTTCACTGGAGTGGATGTGACAACCATGAAAGGAATTGTTTGCCCAAGGCCATCACTGCATCAAGTGCTGTGCCCACCAGTCAAACTCAATGAAGGTGAGTCTGCTTTTACAGCAGCTGCACCTTGGCAGGGTCTGGAAAATGCTGATTGGTGTGACTTCTTGTGAAGCTGCATGTGCATGGATCTCCTCTCCTTGTTCCTTCTGCAATCTCAGCAAAATTCAGCTGAAATTTCTCAGTAAAATTATTTTTTCTTCATGTTACCTGTCTGTTAAGCACTTTTATCTCCTCAGCAACAGTAGTCTTCAATTACCCTCTGAGAGTCAGGAACACAGATGAGTCAACCTTTAGGATACAAACCAGGATACTAGCCAGGGACCACTCGTATTTCCTCCTAGACTCATGTTCTACCTCACATCTGTTTCCATACACAGCCACTACCCCACACTTGCCAGTGTAATGTCTGGGATCAAGCCTATCCTTTAACTCACACGAATTCATTCCTGTTTACCTCTCAAGTATATTTTGGGATCAGGCCTAGAATTTACTGGTTCGCCTATCTATGACTTCATTTTCACACAAAGAAAAGATGGGAGGCAGGGCAAAAGGCAGCATTAGGAAGGCACAGTGCTTTCTAAGAAGCTCCTCTAATTTGAGTAAGTGGAAGCCCAGAATCCCAGCCCAAAGTGCAAAGCACATCATACCACGGTTAGATGTCAAACTAAGAGTTTAAAGGCTCTAAATTTTTCTGAGAGCTCCAGAAAACTACAGAGGAAACTGAAGAACACATCACCTGCAGATGGATGATCACCAACAACAGGCATCTGCCCCAATTCACCCTTCTTCTCTCAAGAGTTCGATTTCCTCCTATTCCCAATGTCTTCTTACAGTATATCAGAAGCCTGTGAAGTCAGCTTTTGCCTGATGAAGCACAAAGTTGCTTTTAAGTATTATGTCATTGTTTTTGTGACTAGCAAGTGTGCAACTGCTCAGCATCTTTTGGAAACTTATAATTCACATTTCTAATAAATCTCTAAAATTACATGAAGCATTATGTCCACTAACATTTACTGTTAAAAATACTTCCAGAGAGCAAACTGATTCAAAATTTTAGTAGCTGTAGGCTTAAAGAGGAAATTATTATTTTACAGTCTTACACTACCCTCAGAACACCCTTATCAGTTTTTTTGATTTCTTAAAAATATTAATACAGAGGTAGGCATGTGGAACTCCAATTGGAGAGCAGCAGAGCCTTTCCACACTCAATAAAATCTCTGATGGGTGCAGTGTAACTGAAATAATACACCAAGAGCCCTTCCTGAACATTCCTCCACATGGATTCCTATCAAAACCAGAAAGACTAATTTAACTTTTCCCAACATGCAACAAATGTGGGTTGATCAATCTGTAATGGGTGTGTTTTGTGAATGAATATGTTGTTATAATTAGATCCAGTTTTTAAGACACAAAACTGCTATGAGTATTTTTACCAGTGGGTTTTATTTTTCTTTCAAAGCCAAGCCTAGGAAAAAAAAGTCTGACAAGTGTTGCCACAAATTTACTAACTTCAATTCCTCAGTAGTAGTATTTATATGACTAGAATTTCACTGCACAAGGCAATGCTTGAAAGAACAGCAAACACAGGAAGGGAGCACAGGAAAAGGAAAAAATGGACTATTTGGTGGAGACATTACATCATTTGCTTTGCAACATATCTGTATTTCACAGCCACAAGAATATCAGCCAGCTCCAAGATAAGGAACATGTTTATTTAGAGAATAAATCTAGTTCAGATTTCATCATAATGTCAATATTTGCCATATTACTACTACAGTTCCTGTCAGTTAACACTCAGTAGTTAATAGTATGTTGTATGCAAAGGGAGAAGATCTGAATGAGCTGTGTATACAACCTGAGAACTGTCAGGTCAGCAACATGGGTCACTCCACTTTTGGAGGGTTCATTCCTTGCTGGGTGCAAGGAGACAAGAACAGACCTTCACTTGGCAGAAAACCACTGACTTCCACCTCACAGATTTTGTTTTATTTTCCCAAGATTTTAGTACCAAACTTGACAACTAAGACAAATTATCAGGTTCCTGTCAAAAACTACAGACAGTCCAGCCAGGCCATTGCAGCAGAGACTTCTCCTGCCCTGTGGTATGATGCAGATCAGTGGGAAGCCAGGGTATGGTAATCAGGTGTTGTGGTTGGGCTCTGGCTGCAGCTGCTTGGGAGTAACTGCTGAAGGAAGAGGGGCAGCAGCCAGTGAAGCTGCTACACACACGTGTTGCAGACACTGCAGGTGGAAAGTGTGGTTTTGGCCAGCACTGAAATCTTGAACCCATTGTATTGATAATGGGGTTATACTTCATTAAATGTGGGCAGGAGATGTGGATAACCCTAAGAAATATAAGTTTCTCTAAGCCCAAGGAACAACATGCTGATTGTTACTCTGCTAAGCCCAAATGAACAAATAACCTCATGGTGGGCTGCTTGCTTTACATTTTCTATGTATTTATTGCAATGCACCAAGACTTATCTCCAAAGGAAGCATGTGTTTCTGCAGAACACCCAGTCACAAACCCTTCAAGTGGTCAGCAGTATCTGGTTCCCCTCACTCAGCTCACACGCACTGCTTTGGTTTGCCCTGTTGTTTCTGCTGCCCCTAGTACACATAAATTACTCAGAGAGCTCGTAATTCAGCAGTAGCTCTCCCCATAACCCTTGACAAGGGGGATTAAGGGTGCCTTCTGACTCTGCATTTACCATTGCCTGGGAATGACTTTGTGAGTGGTGATTGATCTGCTCCAAGGGAGTGGCCTCCCCTTTGTGAGCCCTCAGTTTGCACCTTCACTGTGCCCCAGACCGGCAGTTGCCATCTGTGCCTCTGGGGTTCTTCCACTGACACAGATCTCTGCAATATCCCTCATGCTAGGGACAGGGGACCTCACTAATAGCTACAGTGATCACAGTTATTGCCTCCCACATTAGTGGCTCTGTCCTTCAGATCTTGGTGTTTTCTTGGTGTTTCAGGAATTAGAAGCTATAAGGTTGACTAGCTGGTTCAGACTACCCTTGCCTTATCTCCTCTGTCAGATAAGTCATGTGTGGCCCAGCATGGCAATCCCCATGCTGAGCAGCCCATGCAGCTCAGGACATGCAGAGTAAGTGCCCAGACCGCCATCCTCAGCAGTGTACAAAACAAATAGAACTGTCATAATTCACAGGAGAACAAAGACTGAAAATTTTCTGCCTCTACTGAACACCATATCACAAAATTCCATGGCTCACCAAGTAGAAAATAATCCAGACAATTCTGTTTATTGTTATGTTGGTTAATTTTACTCAGTTCCAAACTGTCCTTCGTCTCAGTAAGGTTCCTAGTAATGCAAATGTCATTCAGCTTTATTCAGATAAATCATGTCAAGTCCATATGTCTAGCAGAGAAGTTCTCCTTTCTGCCAAAAAATTAATTCTGAATTTGTATAATGCTCTTTGTGAACAAACAGTGTTTTCATTACCTTTGTAGAATGCATCTCCCTTCTACAGAAAATATGACTACTGACAGCACAAGAGATGATATGGAATAAAAGCAAATCTAACATTCAAAACAATAATAGGTATTTCTACATATTAGCATTCATACCAAGTTTAAAATCAGTACTATTTGGATCACAGATGACTATTGAATGCTATGCCAAAGTAGCTACAAAAGCAATGATAACGACAATTTGAAAATAGTTAAGAGTGTGAATTGGAAGATTTGATATGTTTTCTTCTTTTAATGTACAGCCCATTCCCAGAATTTCCCTGGACCATGTGGACAGACCAACTGTCACAGCTGTCTATCAAGGCTGAATTAGATGAAGACAAACAATACAGGCTTTGTGGTTCAACTGAAGCAGCAGTCTCAAAAGTTTCCATTTCTCATCTGCAGGCACTGTGGGAGCATTGTCTTCCCCCTCTCTGAAAAGAGAATGGAACAATTATGTTACCGAAATTCCTCTGCAGTGGGTCTGAAAGACTGTTTATATCCAGCCAGGAAGACAGGGAAAACTAAAAGCTGGGATTTCATGACAGCAGGTGGGAGCAGTTTCAGGGTATATACTTCAGTGACATAATGGTACTAATTCTTCTCTTTTAGGGTAAAGCCAGTGCCACAAGATTTACTAGCAATGGAGGAAATGGCAGTAAAAATGCAAAGTTAAATGCAGTGGTAAAATTATTAATTTAACACAAAGTTTTAAAACTGGCTTTCTGAATCAGTCTGGTAATTGATTATAAACCTGGTGCTCATGAGTAGTATACTAGAAAGAAAAATATACTGGTAACAGCAAACTTTTTACCATTTGATATTTTAGGGGCCTTACTAAGGGAAGTGCTGAGTACCAGCTCTGATGGGAGTCAGGTGGACTCAAAGGATAGAAAGCAATCACTCAATTCCTCCCAACAGCAGTAATATTCATTAGCAGCATAAATCAATACTTGATTTCATGCAAACACATATTCATGTGCTTTGGCATAACCTTAAGAATCCAGGCACACAGGTTGCCCCAGTGCTCTCAGTTCAGAAGCAGTGGGCATGAGAGTGTCTGACTGCTTCATTCGGTTGTAATACTAATTTCCTTTTTTTTTCCTGAGGTTATTATAGTGCTAACAACAGCTCAGTGTGTACACACAAACAATCTGAAAGTGCTCATGTGCAAATGGTCACCTGGGGCTACAACTGCTTGCAGGAAGAGTCAACTCATTCCAGAGAATTCCCGCTTGGTCCTGACAGGGGAAGGGGGCGTAGAGGTTGTCAGTAACCAGCAGTGCTGCCAAGAAGTCAGTGCCTACCCTCAACACAATCTGTGATTTCCACATACTCCCTGGTTATCACTCAATACCCCCCCAAAGCCATCTCTGGGAGGCTGCAGGCGAGGCTTCAATTCTGGATGGCACTGAAGCGAGGCATTTGGGATCCCTGTCACAGGATCCTGTCATCGACCAAGGAATGACGAGGGGGGCTAACCCTCACAGCCTCTGGACACAAGTCTTGGAGGTAATGCCTCAGAGCCAAGAGGGTTCAGTGCTGAGACCCCTCGGCCCCAGGGGGTGAAATCTGGGGGGGACAGGTGTCCCAAAGGTGAGAGACTGTGCTTTGTTTGGAACTGGACAAAGCACCCTTAAAAGGAAAACCCTAGAAGCAGCTCTGGTCCATGCACAGTGGTGAGAGCACTGGACATGGAAGGAAGGTGTCACGATGGCAGATGTTCTCTGGGGGGTGCCACGAGTGACAGGAATAACATGAGATTTCAGCTGTGTTTCCTGGGGAAGCCTATGGCATAAGAGGGACTTCTCTCCTCTTGATGAACTGAGAATTGATTATCTGGAGGGTGGCGATGGACCAAGAGTTGGTGATCTGAGGGGTGGCAACTGAATTGAGAGTCTAAAGTTCTGTCTTACTGTGATGTATTGGGAACTTGGCTGGGGGGAGAAGGAATGTTTGGAAGGCTTTCATCCTGAGTTCTGTGTGTTTCTTTTATATATTGTAAGTTAATAAAGATTTTTTTCCTTCTATTCCTAAGCTGGAGCCTGCTTTGCTCTATTCCTGATCCCATCTCACAGTAGACACCAGGGAAAAGATATTTTCATGGGGGCACTGGCATGGTGTCAGCACCAAACCATGACAGCCACGTTGTCTGGCAGCAGCACCATTTGATGGTCCCCTTGAAGAGCTTTCCACCAGCTGCCTCCTAAGGCAGGCTGTAAGCAGTGAAAGGGTTTTACACTCCACACAACAGCACAGAGGATTCCCAGCTCTTCCTGGGGCTTGGTATATATAGGTGTAGCATAAAAAAAAACCAAAACAACAACCAAGTAATAACAAATTATTCTCCATCTCTGGAAAAAGTCTTGGCATGTTTTTCAGTTGGCTACTGATACAAGGGTGCAGGGACCAACCAACCCACTCCTCCCTGAATTGAACAGAAAATTTCCATTTTTGTGGCCAGAGGTACTGGATCAGTGAATAAAACTGAACAATCCGAGTGAGACAATTCAAAAGAAGCCAAAACCTTTGTGGTTGTAAGGTTCTATTTAGGTAAACTAATGCTGTGACACAGTGACACTCCCTCAATCTCAATTAGTGCTTAAACTAATTAAGAAAATTGTTTTACACACTGCATGAGTAGTACCTCTCTTCTTTCTTGGATAATCCCTAGTGTGATGTAAGGGTGATTGAGTATCTAATTACTCTTTAATTGAATGCACATTTTGTACATTTTTAGCTAGTTCAAGCTTAATGCTTTTAGTCCAAAAGTCAGTGAAATTAAGTTGAACTGGAATTTGGTACCTATTGTATTAACAAATTTCTTTTTGAAGGGAGCCTAATTATGAGCCAGTCTGAAGATTTCAGCTGTGTTTGTTACAGAAATACTTAATGCATTGTCTGACAAAAGACTGATTGTATATATTGGTGGTATTATTATCCATGTTTGTCATTGTTTGTTATTATGTTTGTAATTATCAATGTTTATCCTTGTTTATTCTTGTTTAGCAATAACTTTCCTACTTTCTAGTGAAGTCCTCTACAGATCAAATAATTATTCCCAAAGAAAATCTTCCAGGATCAGTGCCATAAATGCCTGCAATATCTGAGAGTTCTTCACAATACCCATGGTTAGAAAAAAAAAAATTTGTAACAAGGTTAATCAAATATCAGAATTCAACCTCAGAATGGAAAAATACCATTATTTTTCCAAGAAGATTTATATCTAATTCTTTCATATACAAAATTTTATGCACCTATATTATTCACAGAGAAAGTTTTCCTGTTCAAAACTAGGACAAATGGAACACTATAAATTTTACCTCAGAAACAAGGAGCAGAAGTAGGAGCAAAGATAAGGAGCAAAGCTAGGATATTTTTAAGAACCAAAGGTTCCAATGTTCCTACAGCAATAGAAAGAAAATATTTAAAAGAGAAGATATGAGAAAAGTTCAGTGAAAAGGATTATTTTTCAAAGTCTCCCAAAAGTGTTGAGAAGGTGCAAATAAAGAGAGTATGGAGAAATTAGATAGGATGTCCACAATAATCTGTCTTTCCATCTGATAGGGAGGAAGTAAGATGTCCCACTGCAGCAGTTTTACGTCAAGATCAATACACAAGATCAAAACCTTTATTCTGCTGCTTAAAAGGAGCCAATCTCTTTCCTGGAGAGCTTTTCCACTTCTTTTGTCTTACCCTACTCCTTACCCCCATTGTCTTACACAATGCCCTTTTTCATCATAGAAGGATCTTGCCTTCTCCTCCTTAAATTATGATAAATCAAAAAGTTCAAGAGTTTTTTAAAAAAGCAAAATACAAAACACATAGATGGCAAAACCTTGTATAATACTAACAAAACATTACCTTTATCCTACACCTTCCTAAAAACAGCACCTGAAAGTACAGCCAGGTGTGGATTCAGTGTGTCTCAGAAAAGAGGACTGAGAACCTTATCAAACCTTATCATTCTTGAAATACTTTGCATTCCTTCCATTAAAAGGTTACAATTTATTGAATCAACATCAAGTTATGTGGGCATTTAGCTGCCTCTAGCTAAATTAAATACACCTTTGTTTGTTTTGAGGTATGGGGATGCATAAACAGTTTTAAAGAAACTTTTGTTGTGTAGCACTGCTCTTCATAAACTCTGGTCTTATCCATAAAACATTGCTCACAACAGTAAGTGCTGACATTCTGTTTCTTGAGTGGCAAGTATCAGTTGCAAAAACATTTTCAGTAATCCAAATAACCTGGAAGTTTTCATTTGCTATTTATTTACAAAACATGTCTGTTTGCTTAGCAAGAGTTTGTATATTTTTCATTGCATTGCCTTTATCCACACAAAATAATCAGAATTTAAAAAGTTCCAATAAGAGTAAGGATCTGGGCTGACCTGGATCTTCAGTTTCAATGGAGTAATAATGTTCTGCTTAAATCTGTGTCATTTCATCCAGGTAAAACAGAGTGCACTTCCATAACATTGGTGGCGGAGGAAAGCATAATGGAGGCTTTCTTCTCTGTATTGTACAGACATCTGTACCTGTGTGTCCTTCTAGTATCTTTGATAATTGAGAGTATATTACATTATATTTTATATGTGCCACTCTTTTTTTTAAATGGGTGTAGCTTTATCAGTGATGATTTAAGCTTCCCACTATTTTGACTCACCACTAATTTGCAGCATTTTCCCCATAAGTGAAAATACCATGGCAGAGTGAGCGTTCAGACTCTAACTTGTGTGCTGTGATTGTTAATAAACACGCTGTGAGGGTGTTTTGTATGACAGGCACTCTGGGCTCCTGGCTACATTATCAGTTCCCAAGCAGCAGTCTACAACCCATACATGGTTTATGGCAAGCTGCTGGGAATTATACTCTCAAAACTCTTTTTATGAAAAGCTGATGACAGCAGTGAATTATAAATCAGAAAGACTGTATGATGCTGGTAGAAACTCACAGGTCACAAAATTTAGGAGCACTTGTCAGCATAAAGCATCTTTTTTGAAGCATAAACAGGGATCTGATTCCTAGACTACCCTGTGACGTTTTTAGCTTTGAAAAGCACAGTAATCTCTCCTCCTTGCTTCTTTACATGCTAAGAGATTTTGAACATTTTCCATTCTTCCACAATTCATCTATTTCTCACAAAAGCTCAGTAAGGAATTGAACGAGCACAATTCCAATATGATACTAACTCTGAAAACTCAAAATGGTTTTCTTTCTCATTTAGGGCTTGATCACCTGCTATACTGATGCTCTAGCCTGGACACATAAATACTTACCACAACAAGGACATGAATACCTACCACAACCAACTCTTCGCTGCCTCTGGCTACCAAGTCCCTACATTCTAGCCCCCATGTCAGAGCTATGTCACATAAGTAACAAAAGAGTTTTTCTAGTCACTTATTTGAATCATCAGCAGTGGGGGAAAA